TCATTAAAGCGGGATGCGGGGAGATGGGGTTAACGTCCATTCGACAAAAACTAGATCATTTCGGGACTAAGATGTGGTTTAATTATATTTCATGAATTGACATGTACGTAGGGGAGGAGAAAATCGGAAAACTCGGGGAAAACCCACGAAGTTGCACAGGTGACCAGACAGGTGATCTAACTCGCACGTCTTAGCCTATGTGATCGTACAAAACATTTGATAAACAACGTTCGAAAGTAAACAATATTTAAAATAAATGGGATTAAAAATTAGAAAGTGTACAATATTTAATATACATCGGATTTAAAATGAGAAATTACACAGTATTTTAAAAACATGAGATAACAAATTAGTAATTCCAGATAATTTATGAAATAAAATCGTTTTTTGCGTCCTACTGTTCTGCTAGGGCTGGGCTAATGAAGAAAGGCATACACTGTGCCTTTATTTGAACACCAATAAGTACAGGGGATCTTAAATTTTCAAATTGCACAATAATTAAAATACATGTTCCAAAAAATTCGAAATTACATAATAGTTAAATTAATGGTTTTAAAAATTCAAAATTACTCAATATTTGAAAAAATAGAATAAAAATTCTGAAATCAAGCAATATTAAAAATACATGGGATTAAAAACTGGCAATTACACAATATTTAAAATACATGGAATAAATAACTGGCAATTACACAATACTTTTAAAAGATATTGGATTTGAAATTAGACATTACTCAATATTTAAAGAAGCTAAATCGCTATTATTTGGGACCTGGAAATTGACCCAAATGGGTCGCAACGCATATAATAATGTAATCTGATTGTATATGAACTGATTTACATTCACTTGTTTCCGTTTTGACTCTAATTTCATGACATGAGTTGTGGAATATGTTTAGCCTCGCTCTTTCTGGTCACTTGTTACGATTCGTGTACCACTGGTAAAATGTTTATTTTTTCTTAAATATTGGATATCAGAAGCCTACCCTTTCCCGGTAAGATTTGATTTGAATTGACAAATAATTCGTGTTTTCAACGTGTAAGACTTTGGATGATATTGAGTTAGAAACTTAGCTACTTTAAAATATATTGAATTAAAATTTCGAAAGTTCACAATTATTAATATGCATAGGATCAAAAATTATGCATGCATTAAAATACATGAGATTAAAAATTTAAAATTACGCAATATTTGAAAAAAAACAGGATTAAAAATTAGAAATTACACAATATTTAAAATACATGGAAATAAAAAAACTGACAATTACACAATTTTTAAAATACATGGGATTAAAAATTAGAAATTACACAATATTTGAAATACAGGGAATCAAAAAACTCGCAATAATATAATTTTTAAAATACATGGCATTAGAAATTTGAAATTACACACTTTTTAAAAGACGTGGGATTAAAATCAGGCAATTACACAATATTTGAAATACATGAGATTGAAAATTAGAAATTAGATAATATTTGAAATACATGGAATTAAAAATTCGAATTTAGATAATATTCAAAATACATGGGATTAAAAAATCGAAATAACACAATATTTAAACGATATGATATTAAAATTTCGAAATTACACAATATTTAAAAGATATTGAAATAAAATTAGATATAACACATTATTTAAAATATTAGTGCAAAAGTGAGGTTTTTAAAACATCTCATCAATCGATCATTAGGTCCGTACTTGATTTAATGATCGGTGTAAACCGGGTACACGGGAAGTAGCTTACTACATGTGGTGCAGAGGGAGCAGGATTTATTTCCAAGATACTTAACATCGAAAACGCTTACTCCGTATGAATTTTTATTTTTTTTTTATATTTTTAAATAAAGGAAGAAAGTTGGTTATTTAAAATACATGGAATAAAAAACTTGCATTTACACAATATTTAAAAGATATGATATTAGAAATTAGAGATTACACAATATTTAAAATATATTGGATTAAAATTTCGAAAGTAGACAATAATTATTAAAATGCATAGGATCAAAAATCAGAAATTATGCATGAATTAAAATAACATGGGATCAAAAATTCGAAATTACGCAATAATTTATGAAATAAAATCGTTTTTTGCGTCCTACTGTTCTGCTAGGGCTGCAGGGCTAATGAAGAAAGGCATACACTGTGCCTTTATGTGAACACCAATCAGTACAGGGGATCTTAAAATTTCAAATTGTACAATAATTAAAGTACATGTTCCTAAAAATTCGAAATTACATAATAGTTAAATTAATGGTTTTAAAAATTCAAAATTACTCAATATTTGAAAAAAAATAGAATAAAAATTAACTGGCAATTACACAATATTTTTAAAAGATATTGGATTTGAAATTAGACATTACTCAATATTTAAAGAAGCTAAATCGCTATTATTTGGGACCTGGAAATTGACCCAAATGGGTCGCAACGCATATAATAATGTAATCTGATTGTATATGAACTGATTTACATTCACTTGTTTCCGTTTTGACTCTAATTTCATGACATGAGTTGTGGAATATGTTTAGCCTCGCTCTTTCTGGTCACTTGTTACAAATGACGATGGAACGCACTATGGTACACGATTCGTGTACCAATGGTAAAATGTTTATTTTTTCTTAAATATTGGATATCAGAAGCCTACCCTTTCCCGGTAAGATTTGATTTGAATTGACAAATAATTCGTGTTTTCAACGTGTAAGACTTTGGATGATATTGAGTTAGAAACTTAGCTACTTTAAAATATATTGAATTAAAATTTCGAAAGTTCACAATTATTAATATGCATAGGATCAAAAATTATGCATGCATTAAAATACATGAGATTAAAAATTTAAAATTACGCAATATTTGAAAAAAAAACAGGATTAAAAATTAGAAATTACACAATATTTAAAATACATGGAAATAAAAAAACTGACAATTACACAATTTTTAAAATACATGGGATTAAAAATTAGAAATTACACAATATTTGAAATACAGGGAATCAAAAAACTCGCAATAATATAATTTTTAAAATACATGGCATAAGATATTTGAAATTACGCACTTTTTAAAAGACGTGGGATTAAAATCAGGCAATTACACAATATTTGAAATACATGAGATTGAAAATTAGAAATTAGATAATATTTGAAATACATGGAATTAAAAATTCGAATTTAGATAATATTCAAAATACATGGGATTAAAAAATCGAAATAACACAATATTTAAACGATATGATATTAAAATTTCGAAATTACACAATATTTAAAAGATATTGAAATAAAATTAGATATAACACATTATTTAAAATATAAGTGCAAAAGTGAGGTTTTTAAAACATCTCATCAATCGATCATTAGGTCCGTACTTGATTTAATGATCGGTGTAAACCGGGTACACGGGAAGTAGTTTACTACATGTGGTGCAGAGGGAGCAGGATTTATTTCCAAGATACTTAACATCGAAAACGCTTACTCCGTATGAATTTTTTTTTTTTTTTATATTTTTAAATAAAGGAATAAAGTTGGTTATTTAAAATACATGGAATAAAAAACTTGCATTTACACAATATTTAAAAGATATGATATTAGAAATTAGAGATTACACAATATTTAAAAATATATTGGATTAAAATTTCGAAAGTAGACAATTTTTAAAATGCATAGGATCAAAAATCAGAAATTATGCATGAATTAAAATAACATGGGATCAAAAATTCGAAATTACGCAATATTTGAAAAAAACGGATTTAAAATTATAAATTACACAATATTTAAAATACATGGAATTAAAAAACTGACAATTATACAATTTTTAAAACACATGGGATTGGAAATTATAAATTACACAATATTTAAAATGCATGAGATTAGAAATTAGAAATTACACACTTTTTAAAAGACGTGAGATTAAAATCAGGCAATTACACAATATTTGAAATACATGAGATTGAAAATTAGAAATAAGATAATATTCAAAATACATGGAATTAAAAATTCGAATTTAGACAATATTCAAAATACATGGGATTAAAAATTCGAAATAACACAATATTTAAACGATAGGGAATTAAAATTTCGAAATTATACAATATTTAAAAGATATTGAAATAAAATTAGATATAACACATTATTTAAAAGTAGGCCCGTACTTAATTTGTTGATCAGTGTAAACCGGGTAAACGGGAAGTAAATCAAGTGATTACTGCAGCCTACTCCATGTGGTGCAGAGGGAGCAGAAATTATTTCCAAGATAGTAATCATCGAAAAAGTTTAATCGGTATGAATTTTTAATTGTTTTCTTTTTTATATTTTCAAAGGAATAAAGTTGGTTATTGTGAAAATTCCCGTATAATTTATTTTCTGTTGTAACAGATGTAACATTTGATTATAACCTCACCCACAGAATGTGGCAGTTTCTCGAATTCTATATCAACAAAGGGAGACAATAAATAAAACAGAAGGTTGAAGGAGGCAGACCACCATTAATTTCCCCATTGACTTCTATGTTAATTCTGGCCTCTTTGCCCACATCCAACTTTTCCCCAAATTTTCGTTGGGCTGAATGCTTTTCACTACAGACAGAGGAACAAATGGTCACGTCTTTGCACTAAAATTTGTATGAGGTTGACCACCAAAATTTTGAGATACACAAACTTGAAGAAGCGTACTAAAAACATGTAACTAGTTGCCGTACATATCGCCGTAGCTAACCTGATAACCCTCTAATCCTTCCGCCTCAAAATCATGAATATTTACCAAAACCTGGCAGAAAATGTTAATTCAAACCCTCTTCGTCCATTCTAGACCAAAAAATCAATAAAATGGGCATGCAAAAGGGGAGAAAAGAGAGAGAGAGAATTGCTATAAATAGACGAACTAAAATTTAATGGTGGTCTGCCTCCTTAAGATTTAATTATTTTACACATACAGTATGTGACTTTAGTTTGATGGTATGTTTTAGGTACACGATCAAATCTATTATTTGTCTATAAACACAACCAACTGGACTTAGATATTGTTTCTTTTATGTGCGGTTATGTTTATTTCAATAAACCTTTCCAGATGAAGACTGAGGGGGTTTAAGTTGTTTGAAAACGTATCATGTATAATATTGAGTTGGTTGCTCGGCCCTAAGGGAGAGGATTTTAAGGGCTTTTAACACAAAATAAAACAGTTTTATTCTGCCAAATATAATTGAGATTGGCTCTTTAAATTTTAATGTTTAATATATAGTGGGTTTCAAGGAGTGTTCACACGTTAAGTTGTTCAGTTCCTCTATTTTCGGTAGTTAATGAGCCATGGTTTATATTAAATAGGATAACGTTCAGAATTGCATATACTCGATGCTAGGTGGTTTCAGTATTCAGTAACATTGGATATATTCAAATTAGAAGTATGCATAATTTGGGATCGACTGAGAATCTTCCCGAAAAGTGATAATACCTTTCTCAATGGGTTTATCAATTCCTTTGTAATTGTAAATATATTTGATTCAATGCAGAATCTGACAGACTTTCATTCCAAAAATTTTCTGTTTTGGAGCCATTCATTGATCCGGTTAAAAGGCTACCGGTGCAGTCGACATGACTAGCATACCACCATCCGCCCCCGAATCTCTTGGCACATTCCCAGTTTTCAGTATAATCAACATCGTATGTAGAGAAGGAGTTGTTGTTCAAGTTGATAGTACCAGTCAAACTGTCCCCACATGATGGTCCAACCCCAGTGTAGCCACTAATATATAATGTATAGGACGTCGATTTATTACCGATAGCAAAGTTGGAGTACTGACTGACGCAAGTTGACGCATCTGGTTTAACCAGGACTACTCGTAGTTTGTAGGTACTGTCGGGATTACCAAGTAGCGAGAGTACTTGTTTCAAACCTAGCCATTTGTTAGACGTGACATTGCCAAAACCCTCTTCATATTCTTCCAGAGTTCTATTAAAGTTCTCACGTAAACAGTCCTTATTACGGCCGAGTATTCCAGTCCATCCACCATCGTCAAATGTACAGAGTACTTCAAGAGAATCAGGAGACGCAAGCGGCTTTATGGTTGTCAATACATCATTAGTTGATCTCAAACCTTTCTCTGAACCTTCGGTGCAATCTGAAACATACAAAATAATAACATTGCTCAAAGTTTAGAAACACTAAATAACACGTTAAAACATTTAAATAAAAACGGACCCATCAAATGTTTACTGATTTGTTCAGGGGCAATAACTCAACAGAGAATACTGCTGCGTCACATAAATAAAATGGAATGAAATGGGGTTTAGATTCTACTGTTCTGCTCCGACAAGGCTATAATGAAGACGGGCATACGCCATGCAGTGTACTATGAGGAATATTTTGCCCGAACAGCGGCATTATGCCCAACTCTTATATCGAATTTCAAATGCCAAGGGATCTTTTACGTGCAAGCCAATGTGTAAGTGGGACCTCGGGTTTTCGTCCCATCTGACTGACTATACGTTGTCCCTTGACAGAGGGCCCTCTGTCCTGCAGCACTGACAATGAGGAACCACGCTGTAAAACTCCCGGTGAACTTTCTCAGCCAACGCAGGGATCGAACACGGGATCTTCAGGTTAGCGAGCCAACGTCTTAACCACCGAGTCACCCTGGCTCCCCTCACATAAATGACTGCCATACAAATTTCATAATTTAATTTTCGGTATAATATTAATCCTTTTCGCAGGGGCCCTTTCGCGGTGCAGAATACGTGACATCACATATCATGTTTAGGCCATTACATCTTTCAGGGGATGCTATTATGAATTCTATTTATTTTTTTAAAAAAATTATGTGAAAATTATTTCTTTCTAAAAGTGGAAGACCAATGGGCCCCGACTCCTCTAAACCCTAGGTCCAAGGCCCAGCCCAAACCTCGCCTTATAGGTCATGTCATCATCTTCAGAAATTCTGAGTCAATTGTCCCGGCACACGTTACTAGTATCTGTTACGAAATATTGTCTTCTTTCTGTATTTGGGGGATTTAACGATTAAATGTGAAATCAGAAGCTCGGTCATTGAATCAAGTGATGTGGTTTCGATTCCCCGCTTGAACGTGACAAGGAGTAGGATCGCCAATCCAACCTCGTGGATTTTGACCGGTACTCCGGTTTCCTAGCAATGCTAAAGGCCCCTGCGCGAAAGCGAATTATTGAAATAAAATTGAACAATGTTAGTCCCGAAATGACCTAGTGGACAATAAACCCCAGTTCTCTCCCCCTATATTAAGAATTTGTAATATTTACAAAGTATCTGTATATTTGAAAATATACACATACATTAAAACTGTTAAAACATGAAACAAGAAGTGGATGTTAATTTTACCTGATATGATATCTTGACAGTCTTCTCCATATTTACCTAATGGACAGGTACAATCGTCATCTTCGCAACGAATGTCCTGTGAAATAAAAAAAAACACAGCTACATAATCCTCTTGGAAAGGTCGTTTAGAAATAAGCAGTAATTATATTCCAGAGAATTGTGATAACTGGGTAATATGTTTTCTCACAGAAGTAAATAAAGATTCTGATCTTATTCTCCTACATAATAGATCGACCTGACGCATGTGAAGAATAGTCGGTTAATTGAGCACGTAGTGGCGATCCAAACGACTTCATAATGAACGATCTGAGTGACCTAAAGCATGTGAGTAATAGTCGATGAACTGATGAACTGGGTGATATGGATAGGATTTATGCTCCTGTATGTAAGAGATAACTTGATGTTTACAGCCCATGCCCTAAAACAGCTAAATAGAGGAACAAAGCTGGCCGTTCTTGCTAAATACTAGTTCAGAAATAGATAATGAAAAATGAATATATTGAAAATTTCATTCAAATTACTATATTCTGAGCGATTTTATGATTGTTGGAAAATGTAGCATTGATTGTTTATTATCGTAGCAACGCTACCGGACAACGGTACACGTAAGTCTCGATTATTCATTTATCGTTAAAGATTTTTTTAATCGGGCGGGCCTTCTAATCCATTTACATCTCTGCCATCTATTAACATATCATTAAAAGACAGAAATTAATTACTGCGATCGGCAATTTTAGCACTTACATAATGCATCTTTAATTGATTTTAATATAAATTACTAACCTGTGTGTAACAGGAACAACCAGTTGTGTCACCAGACATAACACAATCTCTACCATCTTGATATAATTTACAGGATGAATTAGGTGAACAATACAAATATCGCTTACAATCAGTTTTCTCTGTACAGGCTCGGGCACAATCCATTATCCGAGACGCATAAATTGATTCAAGAAATCTACTTGGGTCACAGGTGTTAACCACAACACTAGATTTACTGTATGAAGCCTTTCGATAATCGATACTTCGGGCTGGAAACGAAAACAAAAAATAAACAAATTTTAAAGGCACTATCTTGGCTATATTTTAGTGAATAGAGGCGTAGAAATACGCCCACACAGCCGTCGTGTCTTGAAATAAAGAGTGTCATACACAGCTGCTGATCTGAAAGATTAGCGCGTGCGAGTTGTATCATAAGGTCTGTCATCGAGACAGCTGGTGTGGTTTCGATTTCCCAGTTGTACGTGACAAGGAGTAGGGTCGCCTGTCCAACCTCGTGGGTTTTTTCCCGAGTCCGCCGGTTTCCTCCCACTGCTAAAGACTCTTGCGTGCAAGGGAATAATTGAAAGAAAATTGAACCATATGTTAGTCCCGAAATAACCTATAGTTTGTGTCGAGTGGATGTTAAAACCGGACTTCTTCACCATCCCACAATTGAAATCTGTCACATGGGTTCGCTGATGTGGGCGGATGATGAGGTCATCAATGTGGTGGAGGACTTGTTAGGGTCGTGTGATAAACTGGTTTTAAATAAGCTGGAGAAACATTATAACGCCACTTATTAAAGTCGAATATCTTGTGGAATATAGATATATAGATATAAAACCCATGTATATCACGTTTTTATCTAATTTACAATAGGACAGGAAATTTCAAGAGAATTCATACATGTGGTGGTTGCGGAACTTGGATTCACTACTGTAGTGCTTGCCGTTCTTAGCTCGTCTACGGAACTTGGCTCTGTTACTGTGGAGCTTGCAGTACTTAGCTCTTCTAATGTGGTGGTTTCAAATACTGTTATAATAATAAATAATATATCCATTTATAAGGCGCTATTTCAATAAAACTTGTTCATGTCGCATAATACAATGAAATCTAATAATTTAATCTAAACAGTTTAGTTTTCAAGTCAGATATAAATTGAGTGATTGATTTCTGTGGAAGTTTAACTGTCGTTTATTCCACTTTGTAGGTGCAGCAACCTGGAAATCACGGCCACAAAACGGCCTTAACTTCCACTTAAAAACACAAAGTTTTTATCTAATTCAGAATGGGACGGGAAAATTCAAGAGATGTAACAGGTACTTCGGATCACATTCCATCCATACATTGATAGGTAAACGAGAATGTTTGGAAATCGATCCTGGGTTGAACACTCAACCAGATCCTCGCTCATCCAGCCTATTCTCGAGATCTACCTCCTTTCTCTGACTTCGCAGATATAGGGCGGATGATGAGGTCGTCAATGCTGTGGAGGAATTGCTAGGGTCAAGTGACAAACTGGTTTTCTGACGGGTTAAATAAGCTGGTGAAACGATATAACAAGTACATTGATGTCAAGGTCGATTATGTTGAAGAATAATTATAACAATTTCTATATAGATTGCATATTACTTGGGGGTAGGGGATACACCAAGTATACTTACAGATTGACTTTCTACAGTAAATGGTGCCCCTATTTATTGCATTATCATTCGTCCAAATCCAATCAACCTTTGAACGCTGTATAATTTTTGATTTATTCCATGCACTGTCGTCAAAACTGTAATAATGTTATTGAGATTAGAAAACTATTGAATATAAAAAAAACGCTTAATACAAGACGACTTGCTCTCTAACATATTCGTGAGAAACGAAATTGGGTTTAATGTCCTTGATTTCTGCCAACCGAACGACTAGAGACTGTTCCATACCCGGTCCTCCATAAAGGCACCAATGCCATGCTGGAAAACCTAGGATCTCCAGGCTAACGAGTCAACAACGCACTCACTGAGCCACCACGACACCCCTTATAATGATCAGAGACATTCTAAGTCTTACGACATTATTATTATATAAGAACATCAGCCAACGTTTCAACTTACCCTACAGTGTTCCAACCGTCTTCCTCTTCATCTGAACATTTCCAGGTTGTATCAGTTCTAACACCGTTACTTAAGCCAACATTGAGGCCATGCAATCCTCCTTGATTATAACACCTGATTGCTATCATTTGTGTACTACCAGGTATGTTGATGGATGACATAGCATCCCGTATGTTATCATTATCATGTTTATATTGAACACCGTCCGCGTATAAGTCCATTCTATCAAAGCAGTATGCTTTTACAGTTATATTTAGACTGGCTACAAAAATAAAATATAGACTATATACAAAAGACCAGAAGGGATTATTTGATTTGTAAATATCGATATAAAGTTGATCTTTAAAAGAAACAACAAACGAACGAAACCGCTAAATAATATGTTTTCCACTCATCCGTTTCTATTGAGTAATCGAACATCAAAATCAATATTAAGAAGTAGCTGGGAGTTCGATTTAAGCGCGTGTGTTCGACCCCCCCCCCCCACCGGACACATTTTTATTTTTATTTTCTACATTCAATTCTAATCGGATCCGTCTAAATATTGTCGTATTTTAAGCGAGAAATTGTTTTTTCTTAACTCTCCACGGCTGGAACTGATCGATGAGGCTCAGTATCTCCCATATATACCAAACATCCGCCAATCGAGGTAAGGTCGTTGTAACAGTTGTAGCAAGGGCACGATAGGAGCGGCGTGTCAGCGTGGTGCAGTCTTCTGGACCGATGCGGCAATAAGATTGACCACAGTGGGGATATTGCTGAGCTCTGTGCAGACAATGCTGAGCAGGCGTGGAGTTAGCGTGCAAGAGAGAAGTGAGGACGATTGGAGCATCGTATAGTGAGAACGTGAAAAGGATGAAATTTCTGCGTTTTTGCGCGTACGGACAGCTTAGTTGCCCTCACACATGAGGGGATTTTTTTTCGCATTTCACCACGACCTATAGAATTTCTGCGCGTCGTAAGCGTGTAGCGAGGTCTTGGTTATGTGTGAAGGAGCATTTGCCACTAGTAGTCAAAACAAAAGTCATGTAAACGAATTGAACATACATGAGCAAATGAAAGTTAAACTGCCAAACTAAGAAACTAAATCCATTTGAATACTGATTTTCAGATGTTTCAAGAAGGGTACGTATCAAATCAAACCCTTGGTGACACAAGGTGTTCCAAAAAGAGTAAGCACATCTATACCAACTTGACTGAAATTATTTTGGTTATAAACATATACCATATATCAAGGTACTGCACTTATATTAAAATGCCGTGTTTCTTCTTTTTGGAACACCTGATGCCGCGTTTTATTTGGGGAGTTCACATGGCACACAAATCTACTTTTGTATACATACTTTTCGTGCTATTGATGAACTTTCTACAATAGATGGTGCCTACACCGTTTAAGTCTGCAGTCGTCCAAATCCAAAACGGTAGCAGCTTAGCATTTCCCCAGGCTGTGTCGTCAAATCTGCAATAACGTTATTGATATAAGACAAATATTCAGAAAAAGAGAGCGAGAGAGATATGGTTCTAACGCACATGGGTTAAACCATTGATCCACACAACTCTCCTGGTCATAAAACAAATCTGGAGCAAGCTTTGCGTGGAATATAACATGATATATCGAATATTCACTGCCTTCCACGAACTCATTTTTTTTTTAAAAATTAGTCCTGCAACCAAGTCGCCGTGTGGTTACAGTAAGATATCCACAGCAGTGAACATTCGCTAGTCCGCTACAGAACTGATATGGATGATATCGATGCGGCTTAATCGGTCCCAAATATTCACGTTTTTTTCCTGCGACAAACTCAATTCTAAAACATTTTTTTTTACGTATTAGAAAAATAAATAAAGACGTTTGAAGTATATGTAGCTAAAGATTATTTCCTATTTGGCGTAAATGGGTATGTAAAACGACTAAAAGGCACCAATCTGTCCGGACCAGTAACGTCTTAGGCAAACAATACACGCGCCATTGAGCCAGTAATTGATACCCCGTGATGTGACGTCACATGTTAAAAGCAGTCATTTTTTACAGAGTTGTAAGTATCTCTGTGAAACAGATTGTTAGATATGTTATCACAGCGATAAACAGGAGATATCGTTCGAGTGCGCTGCATGTAACTTGAATAATCTGTTAAAATCTCCAGATTAATCAATATATTTATTGAATTGTCTTTACATTCTTTAATAAACAGTATTAAATATTAAACCCATTTCAATGTCAGATAGGAGATACCCAAACATGTGTACAGAATGTTCAAACGGCCTTACAGTTTTGGTAGAAAACTCTATTGTTTTGGTTATGCTTGGTCAGCTCAAAGTATCCGCAACAGAAATACTTTTAACAGTCTATTGAAAACACGTCTTACTGATATAGAAATTCACAATTGGTCGACTAAGCTAAACGACAGTATGGGTTTAAATAAGTATAAATCTTTGTCAAGAAGAAAATTTAACATAAATTATGAATCTAAAGATCTCACGGAATATTACAAAATTGAGGTTGAATCTTTTACCATTAGCTAAAAATTTGTTTAATAGAAATATGAAAAATAAAGATAGTTTCATGATGTAAGATCAACACGAAGATAACGAATTAAGTCATATTAGATGTAAATAATATATACTTGCAAAATTTGTTAATAAGTGAACAATAATAGATAATATATTATATGTTCAATGAGTCATTTACAACAAGAAATAAATCTCTTTTAATTCAATTTTACATTGTATTAATGCCACTTTAAGTTACTGATCAAACTATATTTAGAATTATCCTTATGTATATAAACAAGTATTTATATGTCTACTACTACCTCATTTTGTAACTATTGGTTCCAGGCCTACTTACTCGAATAAACTATGTATGTATTATTTATTATTATTTATAATCTCCATATAAGTGAAGAAGACAAATGAACATTTCTCACAAGCCCATAAACAAATGGCAATTTGTATTCTCAGTAACTATGGCATGTTAACAATTAGTATTATTGTAGGCGAATTAGTCTTGGATAAAACCATGACATCTTTAAGGACATTAATCTCTATATA